AAAGAGATTATCTCCTGCTATTGTTCTGTAGCCCCTTAGACCTCCTTGTGCTTTCAGATAAACCCAGCCCCACTGATGCCCAATCCCAAAACAATATAGAATAATTTCTGCTTCCTGTCACATGGATTATAGCACAAGATATAGACTTTGCCCTATCTACCTGCTCAACACCACACACACCTAACAAACCTCTGCAGCTCAGAAACTCCCTTTGTACCTTGGAACTGAAAATCCATGAATCACACCATTGCAGCTGGTGGTAGCAGAAAGTTAGAAACATTTAAATCATGCATTGTTCAATCAACATCACTGTAGATCTACCAGCTTTTAAACAACTTGAAACATGTATAAGACAAACTTGAAAGTAGACTGCAATATTCAGAACTTCTAGAAACCAGATTATTAGTTTTCTTTTTCTTTTTTCTCTTTTTTTTTTGGTTTTTTTGGTTTCTCTATGGTTTTGGAGCCTGTCCTGGAACTAGCTCTTGTAGACCAGGCTGGTCTTGAACTCACAGAGATCCGCCTGCCTCTGCCTCTCGAGTGCTGGGATTAAAGGCCTGTGCCACCACCACCCAGCTAAATATTTATTTATTTATTTATTATGTATACAATATTATGTCTGTGTGTATGTCTGCAGGCCAGAAGAGGGCACCAGACCTCATTACTGATGGTTATGAGCCACCATGTGGTTGCTGGGAATTGAACTCAGGACCTTTGGAAGAGCAGGCAATACTCTTAACTGCTGAGCCATCTCTCCAGCCCTCAGATTATCAGTTTTCAAATCTGTCTTCTGACTGTAGACCAAAAGCATGACTCTGTGTGTAGAGTGGACAGTGAGATTACAAGCATACTATCCTACCATGCCAGTGCTGCAGAGTCTCCCTCTCCCCAGGAAATCCATACAGAGGGAGGCTCAGAGTACAAGGAACACTGCACAGACCATTACAAAGAGCAACAGAACCAGAGCCTGGCACAAGGTCCATCCAAATCCCAGCAGAATTGACAGCTCAACAGACCTTCTCTGAACACTCCACACTAAGTCACAGCTTGTGAACTTCCTTACAACTGATTAGAAGTATAGAAAAATCCCGGAAAGAACCTGCAAGCTACCTGCCACTATTATTCCTGATTGCTAAGAATTCCAGAGTCCCTCATTGGCTAAGGCCACCCTGCTGGGCCTCAGAATATTATCAGTTCCCGAATCGGTGTTCAGATATCAAATGACTCAGACAGCCAAGTACTTCCTGTTCTGCCATCCTGCCTAGTAGACAGGGCCTTAGTCCGGAAAGTTTGTATTTTAGTAGAGATTCATCCACTTTCCTAGAGGATACAGTTTTCCTCATCCAAAGCACAGGGTCCTTTGTATGCACATTTCATTACACACTCAATGTGCAGTGCAACCAACCCATCGACTCATAACTGGAAAATCCTGCGGCCAAACACAGGTCACATTCACAACTGTTGTTAAAGAAAAACGAACTGTGAATTAGAAGATAATAAGGGGTCATGGTAAAGCTTGGGGACAGAAAAGAGAATGTGGATATGATATAGTTATAATCTCAAAAACTTATTTTGAAAAGTTAAAATGGGATTTATGGTCATGTGCTTCAGAAACAAGGGATTTATTTTAGAGAATATCAAAGATTTCTCAAACCTTTTATCTCAGGGTGTCTATTTAAAACCAGTAAAATAACATTCTTTTAGGCAGGGCCACATTTTACTCAGATCTATTTAACCATAGCAATTTGGTTTCATGATAAGTTCAGTTCTTTATCTAGATTCTTGATTGCCTGGTCTGTGGACAGCAAGAAATGACCATCGGGACATTTCTGGAGCATCTCAAATTGATTACCTCATTCTGCATTGCTATTCTCAACTACTGTTAAAATAGGAAAGTTTTCAGCCACTGTCCTGTCTCTCCCTTTCTGCACTGTGAATCTACCAGCTTCAAGCCTGACCTATGTACTCACCCTCTTCATCTACAATGATACAATGAAAGTCAGAGAGACTGGAGGTCTCTCATTAGCTGCTTTATTTTTCCTTCCCACTGACCAGTCAAGATCCAGTCCTGAAGAAGTTGTAGGACTATTTACTCAGCAGGGGCAGCAGAGGCAGGATTACGTATTCAAACCAATTTTCAATTACATAGTGTGAGGTAACAATATTACAAGCTCATAGTCTCCCCCACTTCAACAAAACTCACAGGCCAAGGGTCACTACTCAGGTCACTATGAAGAACAATAGAAACTGTGTGGCTCATGGTTCATCCCTGTCCAAGCAGCTCTGACAGTTCAGCCATCCTGCACTTCCTGGTCTGGGGACAGTTGCTTCTACATTCACCATGGCAAGGCTTGTGGTCCTCCTTACAGCTTTGTACAGGAGAATAAGAGAATCCTGGAAAGAACCTCTAAACTACCTCTGGTGCTCCTAATTGCCTACCAGAGACTTTCTAGGACCACCCAGCTGTGCTTCAAGACATTGGTAGTTACCCCACTGGGCGAGCAGAGATGGAATGTCTCAGAAAGCAAACATCCTCCAGGTTTGTCCTTACACACTATAGGCAGACAAGAACCTAATCTGGGAAATTTGTAGTTTAATAAAATCTTCCATTCTCCCAAAACACTTCCTGTTCCTCTTCCAAGGCATCAGGTCCTGTGTGTGATCTGTGGACCCATGAAATGTCCATACAGGACATTTATGGAACATCTAAAATTGATCAACTCACTACTCACAGCTAATGACAACTACAGTCACAACAGGAAAGCTTTTACCCTCCTTCTTGCCCATCCTTTGTCTGTTGTGACTACACTGGATTTACACTTGGTCAGTGAACTCAATTCTTACACGGCTCCCACTTCACTCCTAAATTCACAATAAAATCTACAGAAATTGGAGGATACTCATTCACTGATCTATTTCTCCTTCACACCGACCAGTCAAGGTCCAGCCTGGTAGGAGTTGCAGGACTGTCTTTCCAGCACTAGGTAGCAGAGACAGGATTGGGTGTTCACAGCAATTCTCAGTTACATAGCAGGATGCAAGCCTGAGCTACAGGAGACATTAATCTAAAGCAGCTGTTCTCATTCTTCCTAGTGCTGAGACTCTTTAATAGTTACTCTTGATGTAGTGATCTCCCCACCTATAAAATTATTTATACTACTTCATAACTATATTTTTTCTGTTATTAATTATAATATAAATATCTGTACTTTCTGATCATCTTAGGCCAGTCCTGTGATAGGTTCATTTGATCCCCCAAAAGGAGTCATGGCCCACAAGGTAGAGAATCACAGCTATAAACTGATATAAATAAATAGATGAATAAATAAATAGCACTTAAAAATAGAATGAAATTCAAAAACTGGGAAACATTGGAAAATAGAAACAAAGTGATTATAGCAGTCATGCCTTGGAGAAAATGAAATCTAAAAAATAATAACCAATAATTGACTTCTCAAAATTATAAAAAATAAGACAACACTTAGTAATACTGACTTTGAAGCAGAGTAGGCCATTCCCTGGTAGAAAGAATGCTATTAATAATTTGTGCCTTGTAAAATGTTAGCTGCTGAGTGCTGTAAGCTGACACATGGAGTTACAGCCAATTGCCTGTGTCTCAAACATCTGAGCTGACTTCACTGTGTCAATCAGGATTGGACATATCTGCATGGGAGAGTTCACTAATTGGAAACTAAATACTTAGGAGTTCCAAGCTCTCCTCCCTAAACTGTACCGCCACCAGTGTCTGTCTTCATTCACAAGGAAGGAATTAATGTATGATGGGAATTACACAGAAAGTCAATCACTGTGCCCCATCACTGTGTCCATCTTTGTAATGGACACCCCTGCAGCCCATGGCTTTAAATTTAAGTCTAATATCTAGCTATTGTCCAGTGTGTTTACCTCCTCCAGTGTACACAGTACACCATTCCTACTCTTCTGGTCTGAAGGGAGAACCATGCTCCACATGCAAAATCATTTATTTTACTGCAATGGACAGTCCCAGTGTATGACTCAAACTGGTAATTTTAGAGCTCGGTGGTGCAGCATACTTGTAATCAAGAATGTACGATGGTTAGCCAGGAGGATAGCAAGGGCAATGCCCTGTGGGGCTGCAGACAATATTCAAGTCCACCTCAATCAGCAAAGGAGACACTGGGTCAAAACTGCTTTCCTAAGAGCTGAAAAATGCAGCTGTTCTAGAATTGTTATACTCTCCTGGCACACAAGGTTGTGACCCCATAATGGCCCGAGAGCAGCAGGTCAGAGGCCTTTGATGGAGAAGTGGGTCTTCTGGCTGGTTGTAAATCATGGTTGTCTCATTTGTTATAGGAATGTACCTTAATGGCTGATTAATCCTGCTGAACAAACATTTGCACCTCATGTTACTAAGCTCTAACAAGCATGGTGTGCACGCTATTCATCTTTTGATATTTGGGATGCGGTCCACCCTCACTTAAATTCTACTTTGTGTGACTTTATGTCTCCTAAGAACCAGTAAATCCTTATTCCATTAATTCTATTATCAACTATACTCGTCTACATCAGTTTAGTAGTGGAGCGCTGCTCTACACAGGAGAATCCGTTTACAAGCGCACAAAATTGACTACAGACGGTTCCCAAACCTAAATGTTAAAAGTGCAGAACTTCTGAAGACCCAGGAGAGACCAGGAGTCTCCGCGTTTGGCAAATGTGATGATCTCACTCCACATGTAACGATATAAACACGACAGACACCACCATCTGCGGCTCCCGATGCTCTCTCTGCTCTGTGCAGACACAGCCTGGGATGTGAAGGATTCAGAGGCTGCCAGGAGAGCTGCAAGGTTAGGACTACTGATGGAGGAAGACGCTAAACTCTGTGTCTGTCCGCTGGCTCCCACGCGGCCACCACACCGGTCGCGAGCCTCAGCGGCCGCTCCACCTAATTTAGGAACAGTGACCCCTAGCTCGCCAAGCCCAGCCATTCCTCCGTCTGTGGAGAGCAACCCCTCACTCACCATGGTGCAGCTGCCCAACAGACAGGCTCTCCGCCCACAGGAGAACCTGAGCCCTAAGAAAGCGGAAATGGATGTGAAGTCCGGCTCCCGGAAGAACCCTCCCATCTGACAGCTGGAGGCTCTGATTGGCTGATGAGGTCTGAGTGACCGGACCAGGTTAGCAGAAAGGACTCAGCACCTTGGTCCAAGACTGGCTTCTAATCTAAAGACTGACCTGTGCCAGATTGGCTGGAAATTTACGCCAAATTCAACAGCAAGTCTCTTGCTAATGTAAATCAGTGGGTTCGGTTTTAAAAGGAAGCATACAATTTCAGAAAATTAACTAACATTAAACTAAAGAGCCTGGCATTAAAAAGAAAGAAATGAACTGGTTGTTGGAGGCACAGGGCTGTAACCCCAAAACTCCACAAAGAAAGCATGCAGGTCTCTGTGTGTTCAAGGCCAGAGAGATTGCAATGCTACACAGAGAAACCCTGTCTCGAGAAAAAAAAATTTTGAGGCCAGGTGGTGGTGGCGAACTCCTTTAATCCCAGCACTCGGGAGGCAGAGGCAGGCAGACCGCTGTGAGTTCGAGGACTACAAGAGCTAGTTCCAGGACAGGAACCAAAAACTACGGAGAAACCCTGTCTCAAAAATAAAAAAATAAAAATAAAAATAAAAATTGAGAAGCTGCTTTTGAACTTCTGCTGGTATTTATTTATCTGACAATCTGACATATGTGGGTTATGAAGAAGGGATTTCTAAAAGAAATAAATGGTCTGTGCCCTGGAGAGGCTGCAGGACCTGAGAATGAATTCCAATGGCTGCCAGCAGCAGTGAATTGGGGTGTGTCTTCAGGTCTTTGGGGGAGGAGGAGGGTAGCTAGCATTGACCTTGCCATAGGCCTCAAGTGTTCAGGTCAGGGCCTGAAGATCCTCAAAAGGGACTGAAAGGAGATCCTTGTTTATCTAAATGCCTGACTTTGGGGAAAGGACTTGTGGGAGGCAGGCAGCACTTGAAACTCAGGTTTCTCCTCTTAGTCTTGCCTTCGGGACCTGTTTCCCTCAGAATGCTCCCTTTCAATAGGGAAGGTCATGGCGGACATCTTACTCTTTCCCCAGGATAACTTCCTACCTACCATTCTGATGGATCTTTTTTTTTTTTTTTTTTTTTTTTTTTGGTTTTTCGAGACAGGGTTTCTCTGTGGTTTTGGAGCCTGTCTGATGGATCATTCTGTACTGATTCCTAACCCTAACAGAACTCTTCCACTGTAAATAAATAAAGTAAGCAAATATGTGAACAGAAGAATGAACGAACGGACAAACAAACCAACAAACAAGCAAATAAAGAAAAAGTTCAGAGTTGTTTATTGACTTTTGTTTTCATAATGAAAACTTTTGATATGTGACCTAGAAAGTGTCTGGAGCCTAACTTTATACTGAACTCTCTCTCCTTCTCTCTCTCTCTCTCTCTCTCTCTCTCTCTCTCTCTCTGTGTGTGTGTGTGTGTGTGTGTGTCTGTCTCTCTCTCTCTGTGTCTCTCTCTCACACACAGAAACACTTGAATAAATTTAAAATTAAACTAAATATACAATAAAAGGAAGCAAACACCTTTACTGTCATCATCCCGTCACTTAGAAGGCAGAGTGAACTCTGTGAACTCTGAAAGTCATGGAGAATAGCAAGAGTTCCTGCTGCATTTTGTCAAGTTCTTCTCGTAAGATTTTCATCTTTTATGATCATGTGAGAGTCTAGCTTTTTTTTTAATTTGATAAATGGGCACATGTTCCTTCTAGTTCTACTGGCTGTACAGCTTTGACAATGGAAGCAGGTTGGATTTTATCAAAGAAATTTTCTGCCTTTTTATTTCACCTTTGATTGCTATTAAGTGCCATCTAGTTGGTTCATGGTGTTTCATGAGCACTTTTCTAACTCTTTTGTTTTTGGGGTCTTGTTTTATTTTGTTTTTTGAGGCAGGGTTTCTCTATGTAACATCCCTGGAACTTGCTTGATAAATGAGGCAGGCCTTGAGCTCACTGATATCCTCCTGCCTCAGCATCTCAAGTGCTAGGATTACAAGTATTACATCACCACTGCTTGGCTTTTCCTAATTCTTTTTTGGTGGTGGTTGTGGTGGTATTTTGTTTTCTTGTTTTCGAGCTAGGGTTTCTCTGTAGCTTTGCAGCCTGTCTGGGCTGGTCTGGAACTCACAAAGCTCCGCCTGTCTGCCTCCCAAGTGCTAGGATTAAAGGCAAGCGCCACCAGCACCAGACAGAACTAGCTCTGTAGAACAGACTGGCCTCAAACTCACAGAGATATACCTGCCTCAGCCTCCCAAGTGCCGAAATTAAAGGCGCCAGACTAGATTTTTTTCATAATTCTTGAATGGGGTAACTACCAAAGGCATTTCTTCCTACTTGCTTTGTGTTTGATTGCTTGCTGTTTTGAGTTTTTAGATCATCTGTTCCCTGTACCCTAGGCTCCACACCTGTCCCCTGAGGGCACCTGGTTGGAGTGCAACTCAGACTGGTGAGATTCAAGGTCACCACCCCTTGCTAAAGTCTTGAACTCCAGCTTGAACCATGAAAGGGTGAGGCTACAACTTGACTGGTCTGCTTAGGTGTGCTTTGTGTGTGTGTGTGTGTGTGTGTGTGTGTGTGTGTGTGTTTATCGAGAAAGTGTTTCCCTGCCTAACAGTCCTAGCTGTACTGGAACTACCTCTTGTAGACCAGGCTGGCCTTGAACTCACAGGTATTCACCTGCCTCTGCCTCTAGAGTTTTGGGATTATGGGCACCTGCCACCACCACCCAACCTAAATAGACATGCATATTTGCTGCCTTCTTGCTGAAGTTAGAAAACATTACCTTCTTGCTGAAGTTGGGAAATTGCTAAATTCAGTCATTTTGGGGTTTCTTAGCAAAAAAACAAAAAACAAAAACAAACCAAAACACCTTTATTTGCCTTCTTTGTTTTATTTCACATTTTAACTTGATTTTTTTTTTTGGGGGGGGAGACAGGACCTGTCTTTATTTGTGCCTCAGACAAACTATTTCACTACATAGACTAGGATTTTCTTTTGAACCCTTTTTGCTGCTGCAATTACAATTTAAAAAGGAAAACTAAAAATAACCTGGGATTAACAAAGAAAAAAGGGGGAAAGCAGCATTTTCTTTATTTCTTTCTTTGTTTTTGTTTTCTTCTTTTATTGTTTTTTGAGGCACGGTTTCTCTGTGTAATAGCCATAGCCATTCTGGAACTCTCTTTATAGACCAGGCTGTCTTCTTGGTAACATTCTGGGTTTTCTTTCCTTATTTCCTATTTGTAAGTCGACATTTCTTCTTTCTCTCTTTTGTTTAATTCATATGGGTTGTTTTGTTTTGTTGTGTTTTGCTTTGCTTTGTTTTTCTCTGTTCTTGGAACTGGCTCTTCTATTGTTCTTCCTGCATGTCTGCCTTTAGTAAGAGAGTGGACACCATTCCTCCCTGTTTCTCTGTGCTGTCTGTGTCTGTCACATCCTGGGTAGCCAGAGGGCATGCCACTGCTGAGGTGTAGCTGGCAGCCCTGGGGCTGGGGGAAGGGAGAGAGTGGGTCCCCTGGAGAGCCCTGGGCTGAGGCTCTGTAGATTCCCATCAGGAGGCCTCACCTCCTCTGAGGAGCCCATGGGAGAGGAAAGAATGGAAGGTTACTGAAAGACCCTCACAAGCTTAGCCTGCCATTTTGCCAGCCACCTGTCCTTTCTGCAGATGCTGGTAGGATCCATAGTCCATCGACGTCAGCCCAGCACAGGAGCAGTAGTCTGGCACAGGAGGGCACCTGTGGTAGCATGGTGACTGCTGTATCGCAGTCTGACATGGGTGAGGGGAGCAAGACTGTAGAGTGAGCAGTCAGGGCTCATGCAGGCTTTAGAGCAAGCACAGCATCAAGGCAGTTGCTAGGAGGTGAGGATTTCTTCAGGGGTGACGGCAGGGAGAGGTGGTCATCCTGGTGAGGAGGGCGTGGTAGAGGCAGAGGCAGACAAGCAGCCTGCGTCTCCTGCAGAACTGAGAACAGCAGCGAAAGCAAAAGTCTCTCGTTTGGTCAACAAAAGGCTTTGATCATACATTCAGAAGTGACCAGGGAGGAACGAGTCATTTATTTGTCCTTTTTCCAAATTTATAGTTCGTAAGGTGTCCAGTTTGTATTTTTAATTTTTTATCAATGGTTGTTTTAACACAGAGTACTCAGTTCCTGTGTCCCTCTTTATTTGTCTTTGATCTTCTGTTGCCCAGGCTCCTTATCTGTCTGAGTCCTGTCTTTCTTTTGCTTCCCTTTCTCTGTCCCTCGTTTAACACTTTTTCTGTCTCTCCAAATTTTACTAGGTATAATCTTGTTTTTTTTTTTTTGGTTTTTCGAGACAGGGTTTCTCTGTGGCTTTGGTTCCTGTCCTGGAACTAGCTCTTGTAGACCAGGCTGGTCTCGAACTCACAGAGATCCACCTGCCTCTGCCTCCCGAGTGCTGGGATTAAAGGCGTGCGCCACCACCGCCCGGCCTAGGTATAATCTTGTAACCTATTTACTTGCTGTAACTTTTTTCTTATATCTGATGTTGCCTGTCCTATGTAGGCCATGGCTACTGCTGTCTGCTGACCTTCAGAGGTTGGGTAAAATGCCTGTAAACTTTTATTAATCATTTAAGGAACACAGATTTTAACTGACCCCTGGAGAACCTCTCTTACCTTGGCCGAATTAGTGGGGTGCCTTGCAGCCCCCCTGAGATTTGCCATGAGCCCAGCTGTTATGACTGTCAGTTTCTCCCTTTAAGAATTAATTAAATATCATCGTGTAGAAGAATGGAAATAGATCCATATTTATCTCTATGCACAAAACTGAAATCCAAACAAATTAAAGACCTTAACATAAGGGCAACAATATAAATAGAATTTTGAACATAGCCTCAGTAGCGTAGACATTAAAGGAAACAATCAGTAATTGAAATATCCAGAACTGAGAAGCTTTTTGTATAACAAAGGATATAATTAACAGAACATAATATCAGCCTGTAGAATAGAAAAGGTATCTTTATCAATTATTTT